ACTGAACAGCCTTTTTGTTTCTTCTTATTTTTGAAAATTGAACTTTACACCAAAAAAATTGCAACACCAGCAAACGCAGTCGTCCTCTATCATCACAAACAACTCCTCTTCCATTAGTGGACTTTGCATCAAAACTATCAAAATATCATCATCATCATGGCCGAGTCTTCTGATCTCTTCAAAAAATTAAAGAGAGAAATTGATGAATGGAAGGAAGCTTTTGCAGATGTTTATTTTAGCATTGATGATGTATGGGTGAGAAGATTTGCCTTCAATTGCGATGAAAATGGAGATTTGGTGATTACATGCCAACTTGATCTCGACTATTCCGAGTCCTATCATACACATCTTTCTGTAGTGATCCCCAAGTCATATCCGAAGGGAGAGTACACTTGCATGGCAGGCTCTGATTTTCATGAATTGAAAGGAGAGAATGTTCAAGATGTCCTCACTCAAGTATTCTCACTGATGAAGGAGAAGAGAGACAAGTTTTTGGAAGAAATTCCAACTCCTGGAACCGGACTATCTCACGGTCATGGTGATCATGTGTTTGGAGACGAAGAAGAGCCTCACTCTGCAATGGATGATCATGACACACTCTTTATCGATGACGATGATGATGAAAAGAGAAAGAGATTTGAGTCCATTGAGAAAGATTTGGAGAAAGTCCGAAAAACAAAAGGTTGGCTCGGATGTAGAGGTGCCTCTGGAATGGATCAAATCAAAGTCTACCTGTACACTGATCCAAAGCGTTTGAACATCTCGGAATTGGTGAGTGAGGCCTGGGGCTTGTCACTCTCCAAATGGATTTGTATTTCTATTACATTTTCAAATTATTATACCGAATCCACAACAAAACCTCAAGTGGAGGCATTCCAATGTGGTGACACAAGCATCAAAGATCCAACTGCACTCATTGATAATGGAAAAGTCAAATTCGGACTTTATTGGTAAGTTTGGTGTTCATATGGATGTGATTCTTATACATTTCTATTATTCATCATTGCACAATATGAACCATTTTCCATATCACGTCGTAAACATTGTGTTTTTGTACTATGTGATCCATCAACGACCTGACAATATCAATAACTACAAATATCGCCACAACAAATCATTTCTCAACGCACACTTTAGGACTGTACAACAACGTTTGGAAAGAGACTTCTTTGCCAAATATTGGCCTATTGAACTTTACAGAGACACTCTGCAACCCAAGAATGGAAAAAACTATATGGAATATTTGTTGGACTATACTGAGCAAGTGATTAAAAACAGTCCATCAAAATGTTTGATATGTGGAGGCAATCTTCCATATGAAGGAATCAAACCAATGTGTTGTGAAAATCAACTTTGTATTTTCTCTCACGAACAGTACGGATTGGGAGTGGACTTGGAATCAGCAATTAAGAAAACTCCTGACATTGTTGATTTATTTATCAGTATGTGTTATGCAGCATCTTCATCCTACATTTCCAATCGAGGATTCAACCCATTCCAGCCATTCCCAATGGGTTTAGAAATTAAAATTCGAGACAAGGCAACTGACAAGGTCACAACTTATAACTTTTTAACAAGTGATGGAAAAGAAGATAATGCCAAGGTTCGAGAAGTTCTTGACAAAGTTCCTTCTATTAAGGTATTGGACGAATGGGTCGATGAGGGTAAACTCAAAGATCGATGTGACGAAAAGCATCCATTACTCTATCCACTTCTTCGTTGGATTTTAGCGAGCGCCAGAGTCCATTTGAAGAAATTGTCACCAAAAGAACAGATCAGTGAAATGAAAACAGAGCACCAGTACATTTTAATGAGCTCCACTCCAGACAAGGAACGTAGATTCCAAGAATTGAAGAAGAAGTATGGATCGATTTTAGCCTTCCATGGCTCTGCATTGGGTAATTGGCACTCAATCATGCGTAAGGGATTGCTTAATTTGAGTGGTACTGCTGGAATGGTGAATGGAGCAGCATACGGAAATGGAGTGTATCTGGCCGCAAACGCAAATGTCAGCTTTGGATATATGAGATACCAATCAGGATGGAGCAATTCCATTACCTTCAAATCCTCTCAAATCGGTTGTTTGGCTTTGTGTGAAATTATCAAGGCTCCAGAACTTATTCAAAAATATGGAGCCAACATGACACCAAATCCATACTATGTTATTCCCAACGAAGAACACTTGCAGACTCGTGCATTCTTTATCTACACGACCCAACAACACCACAGCGTTGAAGGTAGAGATTTGAAGCTTCCAAAGATTGAATTCAATTAAACAACACGGCTGCCGTGTGTGTAAATATATTTTGTGTGTACACAAAACAAATAGAGTTCCTCTACAAAGCCATAATTATTATTCTGGAAAAGCAACAGTTTTTAAATGATCCTTCTTGTGTTGTGAAAATAAAAATCTTCTTTTTAGAACCACAATTCAAGAGTCATTTTATCACACCTGTCGGCCTTGAAGGCTTCACAGAGCAGAGAATTTTCAATTAGGTCAAACCGTCTTTTCGAATTGGGTATGCTGTGTGCAGTTCTCATCGCAGTGTGCCTGCCGTATGATGGTGATACCACCTATTGCCGATACTCCAACCCTACCTGATTCTGTTGACAACAGCGAGGGACTGAAAAAGCATACAACTTTTTTTCTTCTCATATATTATTACAACAAGAGAGAGTTTAAAGACACAAGAGACACGAATCGAGTCCACAGTCACATTCCACGTGTCTTTCCAAATTTGAACGTTCTGAGGTGTTTGTTAACCATTGATTTTGATTACAAAAAATGAAACGAAACCAACTTCAACCTGAAGGTTATTCAAATCCATCATCATCATCATTGACGGATCATATAAATAATCAGTCGGGATTGGCCGATAATTTTGAGATTAGCTATGTACCAGTTTCTGAAGAGGCTTTCAATTTTGAAAACAGAGTTCAAGTGGATGATGATGGAATGAATAATTCCATTCATTACATTCCAGCTATTAATCATGAACAAGACAGTGGTGGTTCTCCCTATATTCCTCCATCAAAAGACGAATTTTTTCTCCAGTAATAACAGTATTAATGATGCAAATGAAAGCAATACTGATGATCGAGGTAATAACAATATTAATAATAATGTATATATCAGCCAAGGTGGTTTTTTCTTCGAGTAGCAATATTGCCCAAGAGAGTACCAAGACAAGGTTCAGAAGACAGACTAAAAAGTCTGGACAAGATCAAGACAATTTCTCGAAACAATCACACTTGTTTTATGTTCCATCGAACGGAAACTCACCACAAACTCATAACGTTCATTCATCCAATCAAGGCTATTCATCAGGATATTCGATTCCAGAGTTTTCACCAATGCAACAAGTACCAAATTTGTCACATCAAGCAACACTTGGTACTCCCTCTACATTTGGTGGTACCATGCCTTCGATGGATGCTCCGGTTTACCAAAAGAATGACTCTCCATCTACTCATTCATATCATCCTCAACAACACAGTAATTATTCCTTCAATTCTCAAAACAATGCTTATTTTGCAACTGGAAATAATAATTTATTTAATCCTTCCTCGATATCACCAAATAGTCAATTTTCACTTGGTGAGAGAAAAGAATTCAAGGCACAAAACACGACTCCTTCAAAAGGAAAGAAGGGAGCATTCCTCACTTTCTTGATTCTCGTTGCTGTATTTTTGATTATTGCTGGTATTGCATATGGAATTGTCATGTACACAGGTTTACTTTCTCAAACGAGTTCCTCTTTCTTTAATCAACAGGAGAGTAGTACCTCTTCTTTCAACAATCCACAATTCCAAGATCAAAGAGGAACTCTTGAGCAAGATGATCACAATTCTCTCCACAGAGTATTGGACGAACATATTTCTAATTTTGCTAAGGAGAACGAAGAGCAAGTGGAAGTAGAGAATGACGAAGAACCTGATCAAACTGAGACGCGGCAGAAATCAAACACTCCCAACACTGCAGATACTTCCCAAGAAGAATCCTCAACCTCGACAACAACAACAGACATGTCACACCAGCAACAGCAACAACAAGACTCCAATACTCAAACTCCAACTCAACAACAAGCCAATCAAGAAAAAAAGGATGACTACAACTTTTATGATCCATACAAGAAGGGACAAAAGACAGATCAAACTACGACCGCCAAGAAACAACAACCACCCTCCAAAAAGCCACCAAAGAAACCTCAACCACAACGAAAAAATGTCGAAAAAAAGAAGATCACACTTCCACAGGAAATTTATGACAGAGTGTACTCTAACAAGAAGAGATCTCGGTCCAACGAAGCCAAATTCAACTTTATGGATGATAAAATTGAAAAGTATCTTGACAGTCTCTCTAAGAGGCAATATAGTAGACTTTCTAAAGAGGAACGTACTGTAATTCAACAATACCTTGCATTGAGAGAGAGAGAATCCATGCAAAAGACCTCCTCACATAAATACAAGAAAAAGGGTATTAAGAAGAAGAAAGCTAAGGTGAATCCATATGAATTTGATTATTCGTCAAACCCTGTTCAAGAGGACGAAATGGAGATCACAAGCGATCCTACGCTCCCATTAAAAACAACAAGAGACAAGAGAGGACGTATCCATCATGTCGATCCATTCGGCGAAAATGAACATGAAAATGATGAAATGTATGATGAAGATGTTAAAAGTTACATGAGAAATCCAAATTATCAAAATTATTTGGACAATGATCGAGATTAATATCATGTAAATGAATGAATATATTTGTAAATTCATGATTTTAATATCTCTAAAATTTGCAAAATCCTGGAGCTCGGTAAATTGGAATTGTTTCTCTAATGTTTGGAATTCCTGTGAGGAAAAGAATTAATCTTTCAAATCCAAGACCAAAACCACCATGTGGAACAGTTCCAAACTTTCTCAAATCCAAATACCAGTCATAATTTTGAAGATTTGTCATTCCCTTTTCTTTCATGTTTTGCAGCAAGACATTGTATCGTTCTTCTCTTACTGATCCTCCAATTAACTCTCCTAAATCAGGAACCAACAAATCAACTGCAGAGACTGTTTTACCATTTTCATCGACTCGAGCATAGAATGGTTTGATGACCTTTGGATAATTGGTGACAAATACCGGGCTATTGAAGTACTTGCAGAGATAAACTTCATGCTCGCTTTGCAGATTGACGCCCCATTCCACAGGATATTTGAATTGAACTCTATTCTTTTCGATTGCATCCTTCTGCAATAACTCAACAGCATCAGTGTAGGTAATGTTCACAAATTTGGTTTCATTGTTAGCAACCTTTTTCAAATCTTCGAAGAGGGTATTCTTGTACCACTTTTTAAAGAATTGAATGTCCTCTTCACATTGATCAAGTACTTTTCGAACGGCATGTCTAATCATGTTTTCGGAGTGTTGAATCAATTCTGGAAGACCTATAAATGCTTGCTCCATTTCCACCATCCAAAATTCAGCAAGGTGTCTTGTTGTTCTGGAATCTTCGGCTCTGAATGTGGGACCAAATGTATATACTCTTGACATCGATGAGGCAAATATCTCTGCTTCTAATTGTCCACTCACTGTTAAAAACACTTCTTGGTTTTCTCCAAAGAAATCTTTGTGTTGTTCAGAAATTACTTTAAATTGTTCTCCAGCTCCTTCACAATCACTTCCAGTCAAAATTGGTGTGTGAATTTGAATAAATTCTTGGCTTTGGAAATATTCATGAATGGCCATCATGGCAGAATTTCTTACACGCAACACAGCAGCACCTGTGTTGGTTCTACTTCTAAGGTGTGAAATTTCTCTCAAAAATTCAACAGTGTGGCCTTTCTTTTGGAGTGGGTATTGTTCTTGAGGGCATTCTCCTAATACTTTAATTTCTGTAATGTTTGAAAGCTCAGTTTTTTGGCCCTTTCCAGGTGATTTGATAATCTGACCTCGAATTCTGATGCTTGCTCCATTTTGGATTTTACTGAGCTCTTCATGCGATCTTTTTTGAATTTTCATTAAGAATAATATTATTATTATTTGTCGTCAATTATCATGTTTGGAATATTTCAAAACTTACATGACAGGTGAACCTACATTATTGCTGGTCATGTCAAAAACAACTTGTAAATTCGAATTACAAGAACCATCATTCACTTCAATGAAGCATAAATTCTTTTGCATTCTCGAAGTTCTCACCCATCCTTCGATCGTAACATTTTTGTCCACATTTTCCTCCATACGGGCCTCCTTAACTCTGAGTTTCAACAACATTAAATTGAGAAATAATATTTTGATGTAGCGTCCATAAATTAATTATCATCATGTACATGTCATCAAAATTTACCTCATCTTGATTTCCCGATCCATTAATGATTGATTATTCATTGAGAACGAACGACTCATCCGCTCCGATCCATTTTCTTGAAATCCCATTCCATTTCTTGCTCTAGTTGTGGTACCAAACCAAAAAGTAGATCTAACCACAGTATTACCTCTCGAGATGCTTCTTCCGGAAGAAAGGAGACTTCCTCCAGTCCTTCCCGTCATCAGGATGGATGAGCTCATGTTCTGACAAAACACCGACAGAAATCGTTTCATTTTTTGTTGTTGGTTTGGTCGTTGCAATTGGGCCTCTCATGAATAGACAGTTTTTCTCATCAAGACATGTTCCCGAGAGTGGTTTTTATTGAATATAATATTGCAATAAGAAGATGATGGTTGTGGATCCACATATGTCCATCATCGTCGTTCTCTTCCAAAAAATTTCATGAATACAAATTCTTGTTCAATAAATTTATGAAGTTGAAAGAAAAAAAAATGTCGGAACTCAAACGCCAACTTCAATTCTTGCAGACGGTCTTCCCTCAGACAGCAGTCACTAAATTAAAGAAGGGAAAGGAAAGTTTTCTGTTCACTGCGGAAAAAGCTGCTCGTTTAACCAATGAAGATATTCATATCATCGGTGTGGATGGATTGAAGGAATTGATGAGGCTCGATGCTCGGTTCGGACCTTTCCAAGATTCTCTCTTTCATTCATCATCCATTGATAGAAATAGAGAAATGGAAACTCAATCGGAAAATGAGATTTTAAATCAAGAAATTGAAAGATTCCTCTTGCTATTATCGCCCTATTTTTTACTTAAACCTTCGCACAAAGCCATTGAATATTTAGTGAGAAGATATAAAATTCATATCTACAATGTGGACGCTATCATGGCCTCGATATTACCATATCATGAGACGACATTCTTCTCACGTTTTGTCCAATTATTGAATATTGCACCTACGAAATGGCACTTTTTAGAGCCCATGCAAAGTAGTGGTGTGGTGATGAGTAGAACGACGTTCTTGCAAAGATGTTTCACCGACTTTTCAATATTAATGTTTATTTGTGATGCTATGAAAGCTTTTGCAGAGAGATCAATTGATAACAAGACTTTCAATAATTTCTTCGTGGTCTTATGCATTGAATACATTTCAGGACAGCCATTGCAAGATATTTCATTGAAAAGATTGTTACCTTACGTATTCTATGGTTTGAAATCTAATGATCCTGATTTGGTCGCTGGTTCTTTGATGATTACTACGCAGATTGCTTCCAGTGTGACATTGGCTGTTTCCGTCGTAGATGCTCTCTTTGAAACTATCATTTCTATCATGAACAAGGCAGATATTGATAGCGTTATGTTGTGCCTGGTTTTCCTCTTCCAAAGCCAACCTATTACAAAGATGAGAACCTCCCTCATGAAAAGTTTAATAGAAATTGAGGGCTTTGTACACTCTGTGAATCGATTGCGATTGTCGTACAACGTTGGAAACTTTCTTAATGGTCTTTTGAACTCCATGATTGAATACTGTTTTGAAACAAAGGACGTATCTATTTTGGATAAGAATATTTCACAGATTGATTTCTCTGACTGCATCCCAAAGGTGATTGCAATTTTGTTGAATTTATACATTTCCGATTCTGAAAGCTTTACAGAAATTATTCGAAAAGTACTTGTATGCATTGAGAAGAGATACAGTGGAGAGACGGACAAGGGATTGGACTTGGGACTCAGAACTCTCGACGAGGAAAACCATGGAAAAGCTCTTGATTTTTATTCCATGATTTTCAAAGGTTCTCAACATGAAATTATTCCAGAAATTAGTACCACTCTCTACCTTTCACTTCAACATCATGAAAAAACTGTTCGTATTTTGGGCTTGAAACATTTGGGGAAAATTGCAAAGAATGCTGTGGATGAGCAGACCAAGTCCTTTATCACAGAGTCATTATTAGAACGATTGAGTGATGAGGATCCTTCCATTTTAAACTTTGTATTGAGTTTACCTCAACTTTTGGATTATTTGACACCAAAACAAATTGTTGATAAGATTTCCCTCATTGTGAAACAAATTGAGGAAAATCGATCTGATGACGTCTCAAAAACGCTTTCAGAAACAATTGCAGAGAAACTCCTCATTAATGCCATGTTCGAGAAGGAAGAAGGAATTGAAAAGATGTTGACATTTGTTTTTCGATTCCTCATGCTCACTCCTGAATTTAAAGAAACAAACTTGAAAGTGATCAAATCTTTGCAAAAGCTGAGCCATCCGCTCTTCGCTGGACTCTCATCAGTCGCCATCAAAGAAAAGGATGTTGCTGCAACAAACACACAATTTGTCAATGTAATTGCAAAGAATATTGCTGCAAATCCAGAGCTTGCCAAAGTGTGTGAAAATACCGCTGTTAAGGAAGGTTTGGGAACCAAGTCTGTTCTCCTTCTTTTGGCATCCGCCATGAAACAAGCAACCAAAAAGGACTCGAAACTCATGATTGCTACTTCTATCTTGAATTTAGTTAAGAAATTCAGTTCAAAATCAGGGCTTGTGATCTCAGTGAATGATGTTTTCCAACCAACCTCTCAATCCAATGTGGATACATCACTATCAGTGACCTATCTTATGTTCTATTGTGCATACTCTATGCTTGAATTTTTGGAACAAGATGTGCTGAATTTCTCTGAAATGATGAATTATTTGGCCACTTTCACCACTAATACTTCCATTGAACAAGAAGCTACTCTCAAGTACACATCACTTTTAGCAAGCTTCTTTATTACCATTTCAGAATCAAGACTCTTTGACCAATTCACGAATCACATCAAAATAATGATCGAAAAACACTTGAAGAAGCAAGCGTTAGAATTTCTTTCCGTTTTCTGGATGTCTGATCCTGACAACCTTCCATACAAGACTAGAATGAGAAGTTTACTCATGGGTGTGATGCTTATGGAAGATGATGTTGACTATCAATATTTACTTCCATCACTTCTTATTGCTTTGCAAAACAATCTCTCTAAAGATATGTGTGCTGCTGTGATTTCATGCATTAAGAGAGTTCCTGGCTCCAAACTGTACGACCATCATTTGAAGCAACACATTAAGCCTCTAAATAGAGATATTGTAAAGAAAGTGACTCATTCAATTGAATCAAAGAGTTCTGATCTCTCTGCTGATAGCTCTCAAATTCAACAGGTTATTCAACAATTGCCAGGAGAGGTGATTGATGTCATGTTGACAACATTCTCTTTGAGCCATTCAACCTTTGAAAAGTATTCAATTGTCAATATTCTCTCACAATTACCTTCCACTAGAATTATGCCATCCTTATTTGATTTGCTTCTCTCATATTTGAAAGCAATCGAAAATGGTCAATCATTGGGAAGATTGGATGTTTTACTCGCTTCCAAACTTTTGAAAATGCTCAACATTGACTTGTTAACAAGTAAGAATTCAAACAAGTACTTCACTGAGGGTTTACTTTATGCCATCACTGTCACTAATCAGGTATCCAATCTCATTCCTTCACTTGAAGTTGTCAATAATGTGAACTCACACCTTTTATCAGTATTGGATGAGAAGAATCAAAGAATGCTTTTCGATGCCATTACTAAGGTTCTGAAATCAACAAATGTCAAAATCACTCAAGCTTATCAACAAGCTCTCAAACAATTACCCATGGACGCCAATATTTTACTCAAATACATTCCAAGCTCTACCAAGGAAATGGACACTTCCAATGACGAAACTTCAAGTGATTTAGACAGATTAACCTTTATTTTGGAGATTGTTCAACTCATGAAATCGGTTCCTAAACGAGAAGTGTTTGCCCCTCGACTTTTTACTCATTTGAAAGAATTACGAGAAGAATATTCATACAATAAGACTCATACGGAGTATCCAATTACAATGATTTTATCCGCCCTCTACTCGATTGCTTCAAAAATTGAAGATGAGGATGAGGATAAGAAATCTTTGGTCAAAAAAGTTGAGAAAACCTTTGATGTTGACCTTATTCTCAAGTGTCTCACTGAGAGTGACTCTTCCCAAATCAGAAATCATGCAATTTTGCTGTTGGGTGAATTGGCCTCCATTTTCCCTCTTCAAATTATTGAACAAATTCTTCAAGTCATGAAAGCTGTTGAGGGTACTCTGAAAGAGAAGGATGGTTTTTCTTTTGATGCCATCCAAAAGACTGTTCTTCAAATTGTTCCAAAACTTGTCGAACAGAAAATGGATATCAAGTTTATTGTGAATGTATTTGTGAACTCTATGAAATACATTCCAAAAGATAAGAGACTCTCATTCTTCTCCAACTTGGTCAAGGGTACTTCCAGAAAGAATATTTATGGATTTGTCTTGCTCATGCTTTCTCAATGTGTCAAGAGTGGCGATCAAGAAGATAGTTCAATGATTGTTTCTTTCTGCCATGAATTGGTGGAATATTTCAAGATTGGAAAGCAATTGGTGACTCTTGTCAAATTGGTGAATATTGCTCACTCCATTGCAAAGGACGAAAAAACAGCAAGTAATGCCTTCTATGCATCCGAAGAATATTCTGATGAGGAAAAGCAAGCATTGCTTGTTTTTATTTTGGAATTTGCTTCCTCACATCTATCATCGATGGAATTCCTCAGAATGCTCATCATTGAAGAAGAGAAGGATAAAGAAACTTCACAAACCTATTTACTCACCATTGCCGAGACGTTAAACAAGATTAGAGATCAATCTACCGATTCAACCATCATCGATTTGATTGATGAAGTTTATTCCAAGACTCAACAATTACTCAATTCCTACAGTTTTGTTGCATTGATCAAGTCCATGTTAGAAAGTTCCTCAGGCTCCATGAAAGAAAGAGCTCTCTTCATTTTGAATACTCGTCTCACCGATGAATCCTCACGAATTATTTCGAAATTGCAACAAGACGAAGAGATTTATTTGACCTTGTTGAGAAAATTGAGAAAGATTTTGGAAGATGCATCTGGAGCTTCAAACTTCCTCATTCAACACGCAATTATTTCCATTGAATTGATGGCAAGAAGATTTGCAAGAAATAACTCCAAGTTATTCATTAAGGCAATGCCTTCGGTACTTCAACACTTGAAGGAGAGTTCACACTCCGCTATTATTTCCTCTTCAGCTTTGTGTGTTTCAACGTTGTGTCTTGAAGTTGGAGCCGATTCTCTCGAGTTCTTGCCAAATATTTATCCAACCTTTGTTTCTCACATTTCCAAAGTTCTTTCGAAGGGAATGGATATTCTCGAGCAAGAAGAGAACGATGAAGAAGATGACTCGAACTCTGATCAACTTTTAGTTTTCAGTATTCTCTCTGCTTTATATTTGGTTGTGAGAGTTCATTTGAAGTTTATTAGTCCTTACCTTAAACAAATTATGAACATTCTGTTAAGCACTAGAATCATCCATTCCTCCAACAAGAAGATTGCTCAAAAGTCCAGTGATATTTTGTTCTTTTTGGCAACATATGCTGAAACTAGACATATTTTGGAGCCTGTTTTTTCATCATTGGAAGCATCTGTCAGCTTTGGTCATGAATCAGTCGTCAAACTCATGACCGTTGTTTATGAAATTGTCAATGTGATGGATGTGAAAGCAGTTGAGAATTTCCACACAAGAATTACTGAATTTTTCTTACAAGCTTTGGATTTGAGAAGACGAAGAAAGTTCGATAGGAAAGTCCTCGAAACCGTCGAAAAGTCTGTTTGCTCCTCCTTAGAAGCATTTGTGCTCAAACTCAACGAAGATCAATTGAAATCTGTTCTCAGACAAATGATTGATTGGTCACGAGAAGCTGTGAGAGATGAGGACTCTAAGAATTATTTGGATTATGGTGATAATAAGTTAGCCCCACCTGATGTTGCTCGCTTAATTGCATTCTACAAGTCAATTATTAGTTTTAATATGAAACTCAGCTTTTTGTTTGTTCCATACTATGGATATTTATGGCAAAATATTATTAGAGATTTGAAATCCATTAGTGGAGATCATGATGAAAACGACGACGATGAAGACGAAAATAACGATGAAGAATCTCATCAAAACTCAAAGAAGAGAAAATTGAAAGAACTAACCACCAAAAAACAACCAAAACTTTGTGTCATCTCATCGACTGAGGATCGTGTTCAATTGGCGTATCTTATATTGAATTGTCTCAGTCTTTGCTTCTTAAATGATAGAGAGGCATTTGTGCAATCGAATGATCGATTTGAACACTTGATTGAACCACTCTCTAAAGTGATCGAACAAGAGGATGTATGTGAGAAGAATTATGAATTAATTTCCAAGACTTTTGGTGCGCTTGCTAGCGTGGTGAATCAACAGCAATGGAAGCCACTTCAATATCAAGTTTTACAAAGAACCAAACATGAAAGCAGTATTGTCAAGAGAACTGCCATTGCATGTATTGCTGCATTCTATGAACATGTTGGCAAAGAGTTCATTATTATGCTTCCTGAGATGATGCCATATGTGGCAGAATTGTTGGAGAGTGATGATGAGGAAGTGCTGAAGGACACTCGAGGTATTGTTTTAACTATTGAACAGAAAACCGGCGAGGAAATTTCACACTTTTTATCCGAGTAAATCGAGGTCAATAAATATTATAATTATTATTACATTCAATTTAATTTAACTCATAAATTGATATGAAAAAAATGGCTCAACAAAATCATCACACAAATACCCCTTTGTTTTTTTGCAATATTTGTGATCGATCACAGCAACACAAAGATAATCACGACATAACGGGAGTCCCTTATAAGACTGTTAAATTGAGTTTGGATTCATTAGTAGGATCAATCAAGCAAGTATTAACGTTTCCGAATAAGAAGTTGCTGATCATTACGGATGTTGGACTATTGTATGCAATAGTGGGAGGAAGTATTACAAATACGTATAAGTTCGACCAAAATTCAAGTTTAGATCTTAAATTAGTATCGCCTTTTGATGGCTCTTCACCAGAATGGAAGGCAATTCAAATGGCTGGTTATACAGAGGCAGTTTTGATCATTGCAAAAAGCAAATCTCAATCACTCCTTTACGGCATTGGTGATAATGGATATTATAGAATGACTCATTTCAAAGCACAAAACTTTAGATGTGATGTGCCAGAAATCATGTTCGATCCTTTGCACAATCTTTCTGAAAGACTACTCAGCAAAGAGGATGGTGAAATCACACATGTTGGTTGTTGCTATTCCTTTAGTGTTTGTGTTTTGAATGGCCACGATGTTCACTTTACAGGACAGAATTGGCTCTCTTCAAGCAAGAACCTTGTTAGTGGATATCATTGCTGGAGTCATCGTTCTCAGACAATGAAAACTCGAGTGGTAAAGTTAGAATGTGGAGATTTTCATGTCGTTTTATTGCACGAAGATCATTCAATTTCTGTGGCTGGAAATAACAACAATCATCAATTGACATCTACGGCAAATTTTATAGGGGATGATGTATTTTGTACATTGGATCTTAACTTCCTCTCAGCGTATGATATATTTTCAGGAAGTAATTCAATGGTATATATCAAAAAAGATATTCACAACACTCACAAAACGTTTTACTTTGCTGGAGTCGCCACAGCTCAGGCATTTGCACTATCTGGAAATGGAACCGTAGATAAAATCAATCATGGCACAGAGATCGAAAAGGTTACACTTTCTGGAAGTAATAGAGAATTTTTTGACATTCAATATACAAGAGACTTTTGTATAATAAGGTATTTTGATCGACCACATCTTTTGTTTTTATACGGACGTCTATATTATGGAGGTCATGACATTGAGCATGCAATGATAGATTTGTCAAGAATAGTTCCATATGACTTGTATTCAAAATGTGTCACAAATGTGGATAATTTTTATAGAGATATTGTTCAGATTAGAATTCAACCTATTGGATTTGCAGTTTATTGTGACTTTATCAAATACTCCTACTCGAGAATGAGCCAACTACTTTTCAAAGCTCTGAATCCAGAGAATCCAAACAACCATTTATTTTTTGACATTTCAATTGTTTAAGGCCTTAAGGTTGGACCAAGAATGGTATCAATCCACACCCACACTGAAATTGATCACAGTGTTCTAACATTGTACAATCTTGAATTTTCAACAACAATGACTCAGATACACATTCCCTACTATTTCCAAATGGTCTTGTTGATTTATATGCCACATTATGAGAGAGTTAAAACTTTGTCATCCTTCCCCAGCACAACCCATCACATTTCAAAAAAATATGCCATCACGAACCACAAAGGATGGTTCATCATCCACCATCACCACAAAACCCTCTTCCTTCTCGTCCATGATGATGAGTCGCTCACACAAAAGATGGACTCTACGATCGGTTCGATTGCATCATTTATTTACGGCCATGTGGATCATGTCTCTTGGTTATCAACTTTTCACTCTTTTGAATTCTTCCAGTACTGAGAATTTTCCTTCATCGTCGTCATCCGTTCAAAATTACAATCTTCCCACACTCGCACAGTTGTCATCGGTTCACACAAGTAATAACACGTTCGACTCTTCATTCATCATTAAAGACCACTTTTCGGAGCAAGACAAGATTCGATCGGAACACTACTTTTTCGTAATGGCTCAATCCACCTCTACCCAATGTTCAGAAAGTGTCACCAATAATACAGTCTACTGTTGCCCTCCTCCTTATCAAAAGGAAGCGAGAAAATCAAAATTGACAGCATTCTTGTTGTCCTTCTTTTTGGGAGTTTTAGGTGTTGATCGATTTTATTTGGGATTCTATTTGATGGGAGTTATTAAATTGTTGACTATTGGAGGTTGTGGAGGTAAGTTTGTGCATTTTGAGTTCAAAGTATTCTTTAGTTCAAAATATGTTTTTTTATTCAATGAATTGTATGCCAATGGTGAATGAAATATTAATTTTGGATGAATCTGCACACACATTCACTTCATTGCTGAATTGGCTGAAATATTTGGCATTTCCATTACCTTTGTTATTTATTGGAACGGATGAAATAGTTTGGTGGCTATTGGATTGGATTCTCATATTGGCCAATTCAGTGACCGATGTACGAGGCTGCTCCATGCGGGATGACATTTCTGCTCCAATTTAATCCAATTCAATCCTTTCGAATCTTTTCATTGCACATCAATGCTAGCATCACAACATTCAATTCTCCTAAAAGTTCTGTCAGAAATGACTTGTAGTATGATTGATATCACACATGACTTTCAAAATTTAATTTATTAAAAAAGAGAATCAAAATTGAAATTCAAAAAATGTCTTCGGGTGGTCATCATCATTTTTATTCGGCCTCTCCATCTGCTCATACTCCAACTTCAAGATCGTTTGCTATGAGTCCAACCGATGATGATAGTGATGAAGAGGGAAATGCCAAAGTGGATTTTTATTTTCCTGGAGCGGCTAGTCTTTCGGATCAGTTAGATAGTAAATATCATAATTTATTATTAATAGCATTGGTTAATATTCGGCATAATTTTGCTGTTTTGTTAAACTATATAATGCAAACAATTTTTGGTACATGACTATTTTCGATGAATTTTTATTGGATTTGATGATATAATTTCAAATGCTCTCTCGGAATAATAAGAAAAAGTAATGGTAGTTCTGAGAGATGGTAAAAAACTAATTGGAATTCTTCGTTGTTATGACCAATTTGTAAATATGACTCTTGAAAAGACAGTAGAACGAATTGTAGTTGAAGATAAATACGGAGATTTAGATGTTGGTCTCTATATTGTAAGAGGAGAAAACGTTGTTCTCATGGGAGAAGTTGATGATACACGAGAAACAACCTTAAAACAAGTCCCAGTGGACGAAATTTTAATGCTAAGCAAAATGGAACAAGAAAAAGAAGAGGAAAGATCCAAGTTAAGACAAATGCATTTACGAAATCGAGGTATGTTGCATTTAGCTCATTCTCAATGGATTGAAACATTGTCACAATATGAAATTTATTTCTCACCTATTAGGTCTTCTTGAGATTGGAGAGTATGGAGGTTTTGGACTGCATTCGGAATGGTAAACTTGTATTGATCAACACCATCACAAACAATAAATAACAAGAGAAAAAATAGTTAAAACATCAAAGCCAACTTTTTCAAACAAAAATTGATATTGGTTGGTTGATATTATATATGTATCGGAAGTGAATCATCTCTCTCGTTTTTTGTTGAATTGTATCACATTAGACTCTGAGATTGATATTAAAGATCTTTCTAAAAATCATGTCCATGCAAACCTTGAAGAATAATAATAATAATAACACCAGTAGCATTGGAGGTACTTTCTCTTCGGATCAATCCATGCTTGCTGCTTCCGATAAGATCTCCTTCAATAATTCTTCGAGTATTGGACATTCTTCATCGGACTTTAAAACAATAACAACAGCTAAATCAATCTCTTCTTCTTCTTCCATGATTGCAAACAAAAAGAACCTCACTCCTCTAGCTACACCACTCACCTCCAACCACAGCAGCATTCATCAGGAACGAAAACATCATCACAACAGAAAGGATCATCATCATTACTTGAATGTAAATAATTCAACCACTTCTATTTATTGTACCCCTAATTCGAATAACACAATTAGTAATAATAATGGATTCAATAATTTAAACAAAAACACTTTGAACGAAAAGACACCATCATCCCGAAGCAATCAAAACAACAACATGACCATCATGGTCACTCCTTCTCCCCAAAAACCACAACAACCTTCACATCCAACAAAACCTCCCCTTGTAGAATCTCATCGATATTCACGACAGGCTCAAACTTTGCATTCCTCGGCACAATATGACAAAGCAGCTCGATGCAGCAGGAAAGCTCTTTCAGTTTTAGAACGAGCTAAAAATTACACATGTGATAGTAATGCTCTTGAAGCAATAGATTGGATGGCTTCTCATTATAGAAGCAATTATAGATACCAGAAGAATATGTTTGAAGCTGTCACAGCACCCTATGGAAGTACTATCAGCAACGGAGGATCGAATGTAAATGCTTTCGGTAACAATTCACAACGAAGATCACAACCACGAAAGAACAATGTAGTCGTCACAGAAAAATATGGAGATAGGCAAGTCATTATGCCAAATGAAGAGGATTTAGGAGAAAGTATGATTGGAGATTTGGTCATGACCCCTTTCAACAATACACCTACTCCAACGACAGCATGTACATCATTGTATTCTGAATTGTATGCCATGTTTATTCATCCATGGCTGCAATACCAAAAAGTTTTAGAGGAGTGTTCAGAGAATGCACAGCTTAAAGGCCTCTTTTCTAAAACAATCATGACTACTCAGCAACGACTGTATCAATTAATGCAAAAAACACAATGCTTAGAAGAATCAGAAAGTATGAATGCTAGTTCTGCTGTCTCGCCGGTCCAAAACACGACGAGCATTGCAATGAATACTGATCTTTCTAAAAAACTTCTCTCTCTTACCTATTCACTGAATGCAGATAAGGCCACCCGCCTCTCTCAACAAATATTGAAAAAAGATAAAGAAGTAGAGCTCCTGAAACGAAAAATCAAGGAACAACAAGACATTATTTCACAACACGAAGAAAATTGGAGACTCATGAAATTGGAAGCTGAAAAAACGTTTGGCACCTCTCAGGACAAGTAATTTTGTCCTTCAGACATTAATAAAGCAACTCCTGAAGAATTAGAAAGTACCATGATAGGGTCATTCAGCATCACACTTCATTCATGAATTATGTGGAAGGATGGAGTTTCATTTCACGTTCATGATCATGACAATGATTTTTCACGATTTGTTTCATGTCAGCCAGAAATAAATTCGCTGTCGGTGTTAAAAGCTGCAAGTAATGCCTTTCTTACTCAACAAATTAAAAAACAAGAAAATGTGCTGCTTTAAGTGTATGGGATCATGTTTTGTGACTGTTTACAGATTTGAATATAAAAATTCTCATCATATGAAGATATGAGCATGATGTTGTTCATTCGAACTTTTCAATAAAAAAACTTTTCTTAATACTTTGTAAATGCTAATTATTCACTTTGGAACAACATCAAAAAGCAAAGACCCGCGCCCGCCACAATTCAAACTGTTTCAACAAAAAATTTAAATTCAAAAAAATGTCCAAACCAAACGACATTGGCAGGTATGTGTGTGATCATTGGGTTTCTTCAAACAAATTTATTCATCCAATGACGGACGACCACGACAATATGATTTACAATTTTCTACGACATCATCCTGTGTGTGAATATGTGTGGATATTTTTGACATTCGAACCATCATGTATGATGAACTTTATTGTGAAATATTATCATCAATAGTTATATAACTTCACTCTTTTCAAGTAAACCTTCCGCAGCGCATGATTCCAAGAAAACAAAACAAACAAAGAAGAAAACAAATTCCGAAGTTTCATCCAGAAATGCAACCACTTCCTTGTCGAATCAACAGGAGTCCACATCGGACAACAATGCCATGATGGACGATGATAATTATCATTCTGTCAATAATCATAATAATAACAATGGATCAACTACATCTCCAAATCGTCACCGCTCGAAAAAAGTAGTATTAATGACTTCATTAGAACAAGCAAGGACAGCCAATTCTCTTGTCGATTGGAAGGATCGAACTAATCAAGGCAAAATTTTGCTCGAATTTGGAAATTCAGAAATTGAGACACTCCCCAGCATTGATAGTGAAGTGAAAATTGTAAAACCCACAAAATCTGGCTCTGTCAAGTACATGTATGACAAATTGCACAAACAATCAAATGTATTGCTCGATCGATTAGAAGAGGTCGGGTCTAAGATTTTGGAATATTATGGATTTGAATCTTCCAAACCATTGAACTATGTAAGTTTTTTTCTTATGGAATCGCACAATCATTTCGAACACTTTTATATGGAAAACTCACGTAACGATAGTACTCTGACCAAACAGAAATATATATTGGAAGAATTTTATCAGAGACTGTTGGTGGAGATGACCAGTTAAACTCTTCTTCCATCTTATTAGAAGGATTAGCAAATGCTGAAACCTCTGATTGTAAAATTGTGAAATTGAACTTTGAAAAGTTTTCACTTGAATCATCCAAAGCTCAAACGTTGTTCCCTGGCCAAATCGTTGCAGTGAAAGGTCTCATGACCGTGCAGTTTTTGAGAGTTGAAAAGATCTACACAGGAGCCCCTCTATTGCATAAATCTTTGTCAGCAGAAGAAACACACAAGACAACAGATAAAACAAAAGCTGACAAGTCCAAACTCAAAATTATGGCTGCTTGTGGTCCTTTCACACTTCGACACAATATTTTATATAATCCACTCAAGGATCTTGTCACACTCGTAGATACAATTGAACCAAATGTTTTGATATTGATTGGTCCTTTCCTGAGCGATGACAATGCTTTAGTCAATTCTGGGTTTTTGGAAGAGACTTTTGACGAAGTTTTTGAAGAAAGAGTTTTGGAGAGACTAAGATCCATTGAAACGAATTGTAAGGTAATCTTGATTCCTTCATTGAAAGATGTAAATAGTGATTTTGTTTTCCCACAACCTCCTCTTGACGTTTCTGATAACAAGATACAGAGCTTTTCGAATCCATGCACCTTTACTGTATCGTCTTCATCTGGAGATGTGAAAATTGGGGTCACTTCCATTGATGTCATCAAAGATATTAAGGAAAAGGAATATACATTTGGTTATGTAGAGGATCAAACACAACATTTATACAAGACTGTTCTCGAGCAAGGATACTATTATCCCAGAATGCTGCCAACAGAAGATGTGCCCTTGGATTATTCACTTGCACACGGAACTAAAACTTCTCTCAAAATTGAAGACTCTCCTGATCTTTTAATATTACCCTCAGATCAATCGAGTCAGTTTTGCACAGTGATTGACCAAACACTTGTGATCAATCCAACCAGACTTTGCTGCAATGAGAATAGAAAAGAAGGTAGTTATGCCATCATTGAGATTGTTGCCAATGATACATCGTCGCTACCCTTGGACAAGAGAATGCATGTCCAAATCGTCAACATTTAACATTCCCTTTTTGATAGCTCTCTTCCTATCGAGTTTTTAAAAAAAAACCTTGCCTCGAAGCCTCTATATGAATCATGGTTGCTTATTTCAAAATGAAAAACGAAATTGGAACTTTATACAAAACCCTGCCGCCATAAACGCACTATTTTTAATTTTCGTTCTACAATGAAATTTCAGACTCAAAAAATATTCCAGTATTGAAACCGTTGAAAGTCTTCTTCATCGCCACCACACAAATGTTGTTTGGAAATGATGAAGGAGGAAACACATTTTCAAAGAAGTTGATGGCGCAAAAGCCCCGGCGAAAATGGGGAAGAGGAGCGGTACCTGTCCTTGATGATCAGGACTACTTAATGGAATTGGAAAAACAAAAATTAGAGAAGGCAAAACAAAGAGAAGAGGAAAAACGGAGAGAAAAAGAAGAAATATTCCAGCATTATCGAAATTATACGCTAGCGACTTCGTAGGTTTTATTGTGGCGAATAAGCGGATGGTTTCGAAAATATTTTGTTCTAACATTATGTAACAAATTTAGGGAGAGAACAAAACCAGAAGAGCTGTGGATAGAAGAGGAAGAGGAGGCTCTGTATAAAGACCCTGAGCCGTCGGGAGTGAACAATTTAAGAGAAGATTTGTAAGTATAACATGCTAAAACGACGAAGAAAATTTTGTGTTAAAAAAGACATAGATTTGGAGGAAAGGTTGATAAATCTGATCTTTTTTCAGGACAAGAATCCTATAGCTTTAATCGACATCGTCCTAGAAGAATGGAACTCCTTAATAGCTCAAAACAACAAGGCGATGATGATTTTCCTCTTGTACAAAACAAGCTCTCTTCGCATCCCAAAAACAAGAGAGAAGAAATGTACGAGAAGAAAAAACAAATGCGACAGAGAAAGAAGAGCGGAGAAGGAGGACTGTTTGACGACTTGGAAATGAATAGCATGATAAGCGGAGCGATAAAACAAAACACAAGTGAAAACAATCAAACTAGGTCCAAAAGTACTCCAAAGATGATTAGTCAAAGAGATATAATTTATGAACAAAAGAAACAATTAAGAAACAAAAAACAAGAAATCACAAACGATCCAGAATCTGATTATGAGCATGAAGCGGACAAGTATGTTTCTCAGGAACAGAAAAATCAAATACTTCAGAACAAGGATCATCATCGACCTATCATAAGAAACAGCAAACAAGAAATAACTCAAGATCCAGAATCAGATTCAGAGCATGAATCACAGAAATATAATATTTACGGAGCTCAATTCGATAGCCGAAGGGTAGCAAGAGGAGGTTTTAATAGCGCACCTACAAGTAAAGTAGTGACGCCACAATTAGAACCTCTCAATATCCACAACAACAAGCCATCTTCTCAACCAAAATCGAATGGCTTTGGAAGAAATAGCAGAGATTATGATTTTGCTCTGAAAGGGGGAAACATTTTTGACAAGATGGGCTCTAACGATCCTCCTGTTCCTAGGCGACGAGGTATTGGAAGACTGTTTACAGACAATTACCCAACATCGCCTAATGCACGAGATCAATTCACTGCTCGATCTGACCCTTCCCAACCTTCCTTAAATCGCAATAATTTCGTATTGGAAACTCCGCGACATTACTCGAACATGCACAATCCTCATGATTACATTGACTCAAACAACCATTTAGAACGAATAGGTTCTGATCATACAAGTTCAAGATATTCCCATAGTGGAGGGAGCAACACATCCGAAGGAGCTTTTGCGATTGCTCCATCCAATAACCAAACAAGCTCCAATTCGTCACCAAACCGATTTTCACGAAAGGCAGTATTTAAGAATGAGTTATATGGATTGCAAGATGTCAGTAGGAAGCAACAACAGCAAGAGGAATATCGGAGACAATTAGGTATGTGTCTACATCAAATCTTATCATTTTCCAATTCGAGATAATAATGCTGACCCCAACGAATTTCACTTGTTCAGAACAACAAATCATGCAGTCCAATCAATCCAATAAGAATAAGAATCTTAAGAAAAAAGAGATGGATGAGGAAGATGGGATTATACTTCCCTCTCAAAAAAACAACGATGGTGCTGAACGATCTCCTTCTTCGAAATTCTCAAATGATCATTTCCAGCAACTTGAGAGTAATATACCTCTTGTTAACGATGCAGTTTCTTCTCCCGTGAAAAAAGGTATATCCAACAAGGTGTCTGAGCCCTTGTCATCAAAAGATGCAGCTTTGATAAAGCTGCAAAAACAACTTGAATATAAAGCAGAGTTAGAACAACAACAACAAGCTAAGATTGCTGCTGAAAAAGAAAGAATTGAAAAAGAATTGGAGATGGAGAGACGAGAAGAAGAGAGGGCAAAACAATACCTGGCACGAGAGTTGGAGCAACTGGAAAAAGAGAAACAAGAAAAACTGAAGAAAGAAAAGGGAATTGTGAGAGACCCAATTAAAACAGAAAATGATGCTAAGGCTGCAAATGTGACACCCTCTTCTTCCAACATCAATAATAAGGACCTCAAAGAAGACCTATTTGGAGACAGTAACAATAATGGTAGCTCAACCAGTGAAAAACGGAGAGGAAGAAGAAGCAAAAATTCTGAGTTGACAATAGATGCCCCATCATCATCAACACCAAATCCATCTCATCCATCAGCACAACAACAGTTGGACTCCAATGTAAACACGGAAGTAGTTTCCTCCAATTTACCAGCTGTTCAACCACAACAAACCCCTCAAATTCAATTTCCTCCCCTTAATTTATCTTCCAACACTCCCTCTCAACAACCCTTTACTCTGGACAACAATCTTCTTCAGCACATTCATCAAGAAATGGTGGGACAAGGAATTCTTTCATACCTTTTGGGACAGCTTGCTGTGATGAAACAAAACAACATGGAAGTATTGAATGCCAACAATTTGACCCACCTTCAACCTCTCAATATATCCAATAATTCTATCCTTCCCGTTAGTCCTAACCTTAATTTACACAAGAATTTATCTGCTACCATTAATAATAACATTATTTCACTCAACAACAGCAGTATTGATGAAAAAAAGAATGAACTCTTTGGAGGATCATCTCCTCGAACGTCATCGTTGGAACAACATCTCGAGGACAGCACAAAAGAAGTGCATCAGAATTCTTCAACGCTTGACACGTCGATCGATCATGGTGATGAACCATTGCCAGAACAATCCGAAAAGAAACCAAAAAGGAGGCGAAAGAAGAAGCCTTCATTGGAAGAAGAGTTGGGAAACACATCTCCAAGATGTATAAACACTCGTAAGGTAAAAGCTGCTTCCACTACCAATAGCAGTGTTGAAGAAGATCAAGATGTTTCTTCATCCTCGATTTCTTCCAATAAGCAAGTAAAGAGCAAGAGAGTGTTCAAGTTAAATAAGAGAGAGAATGAAAACCAACAAGATGAGGATCCTACCAACTCGTCATCTATATTACTCAGTGAGAGTCAAGGAGATGTGGAAACAGAGCAACTCGATCAGATAGCAGCAAGGCCAAAAAGAAGTAGCAGTAACCCAAAGAAGTCACAGTCACAACAACAAACAGATGTTGATCCTTCAGAGACGAATGGTATTCAAGCATCAAAGCCATCCCGTTCCAAGCGTGTGTTCAATATCAACAACAACAAGCACGAAAGCTCGCCAGTACTTGCTGGGAAGTCACTATCGGATGATGAGTATCATAACTTGGATTCCGATTGATAATAAACAGTTGGTGAATTTGGTGACACATTTAATTGTTAGCAGAAGGAGTTAAATGAGGGCAAGATGTTAGTGAGAATGAAGGTGCTCATATAGAGCGCAGTGCTCTGTTTCAGGAATTGCAATTTACCTTCATCACAAATATTTTAAAATATAATTATTATTTTTATTGTTTGTGATTCGCTAACTTAGGAGTGGTACAGTGGAGGCATGTTCCACTATTCATGGAACAAGAGAGTGATGGCAAGTTATTCGAGATGGCGGTGATGTTCTTATTTACATGCTTCGGGTTGAAATTGGTAAAGATCAGTGATGAGCTGTTTATGTTCTCTCACCTCTAATTCTTCTGGCCAATTGCATATCCTTAGGCATGATCGTAACTCTCTTGGCGTGAATAGCACACAAGTTAGTATCTTCAAAGAGGGAGACGAGGTAGGCCTCAGAGGCTTCTTGAAGAGCCAACACAGCGTTCGATTGGAATCTCAAGTCAGACTTGTAGTCTTGAGCAATTTCTCTTACCAATCTTTGGAAAGGCAATTTACGGATCAACAATTCAGTACTCTTCTGATACTTTCTGATTTCTCTCAAAGCGACTGTACCTGGCTTGTATCTGTGTGGCTTCTTCAAACCTCCTGTGGATGGTTGTTTGGCAGACTTTCTGGCAGCCTTTGAAGCCAATTGTTTACGTGGAGCTTTACCACCGGTGGACTTTCTTGCGGTTTGTTTGGTTCTGGCCATGCTGATGATGACTGGTTATGATGAGTGTGTTGTATTTTTTTCGGTTAGGAATATGTTGTGCGTGGAAAGAGAATGAGAATAGGGTCATTTATGAGTGGTGTTCAGTTTCCTCTCCACCTAACGGTAATCCAAGGCATTTTTGGAGAGCAGAAAAGACCAGCGAGAGTGTGAGTCAGAGCCTCCCAAAAAAAATCGGTCCATTTTTGGCCGTTACAAAAATATTTCTGCCAATCAAAAATTCTTTACTCGAATTTTGTAAACTCCTCCTCCGAAACCAAAATTTTCGTTCTTCAGAGATCTTGAGGTCCTACTGCAACGACTCAAAGTTGTTATTCAACGACTTATTTTCTCCACCAACAATACTGCACCACTCGCATGAGACGAAGAGAGCAATTCCTCCAAGATGCACAACAAGTCTCGATAATAATTTATTTCTTCTTCTTGGTAATTCTTTCAAACTTTTGGAAGTTGCTTTCCTTGTTTCTTTCTCTCTTATTCAAACGTTTTGGATCAAGTGGAATGTATGCATATGGATCCATTCCTGATGAATTCTTGCCACCTCTGCCTCCACCGAAAATAATCTTGCTCTCCTTCTTTTGTTTTCTCTTTTCAAGTTTGGCCAGGAAGAGTTGGTCAGGGTTGAGCTGATCGGATTGTTTCTTCTTTGAAGCGCCTCTATTGTTGATGGATTGCTTGATGAGATCAATGGTTCTTTCAGGCCGAGAAGCAGCATTGGTACCTTCGTTATCTTTGTCAGCAGAAGAGGATGTCTTTTCTGATTGAGAACTTGCTCCCTCAGGAAGATCCTCAATCACAAGTTTTCCTCTCTTGACTGCAAATGTACTCTCATCCTTTGGCTTCTTGTTGTCTCCCTCTTCTTCTTCTTGTTGGTTGGTTTGTTCAGTATCATCCTCATCTTCCATGTCTTGGCCTTTTCCGTTCTTCTTATTCTTCTTCAGTTTTTGCATATTCTTGAAAGTGTTCTTTAAAAAGTGTTGTCGTTCTTTGGTATTGAGCATCTCTTTCAATTCTTCATAGGAAAACTTTTTAAGGAGTTTGGTCACCAAGAATCTCAATTGAACTCTCAAGCTTGTTCCTCCAGATTTCTCATTAGAGTGGTTGAAGAACGTATCTAAATATTGAGAAATATAAGGTTTCAATGTTTCCTTTTCAAACAATGCAACACATCTCTTGAAGAATTGCATTAGAGATGAAACAACTTTTACGTTTTCGTCTTGCAGTACAATGGTCACAGAGTCAAACACGTCTTTCAAAATTGGTTGTAAATATTTTGAATAGGATGGGAGCAGTTCAGAGAGAGCATCAATAGTGGAGGCAATCATTGAATCACTCTTGCCACACAATCCAGGCAATACTCTTCTCACAATAAAATCAATAACATTGTGTTGTTGCTGTTGTGGAGAGTATTTGGTTTCATCTGTTAAAGGATCAATAAATGCTTTCAGAGTTTGTATGGACAAATCTCTCACTTTTTGATTTTCAGTATTATCAATGTTAAATATACATTCTCCAATCACAAAATTAGATCTTTGATTTTGGATGAGTAAATCGTGGTATTTTGTTACGAGCAAGTTGAAACATTTCACTCTAAACTTTTTGGATATCGTAATTTCAGCAATAGATTCAAAGATGGAAAGAATTTCATCAATGGTTTCAGCTTTCATTTCACCAGAGTGTCTCTTCCAGGAGGAAAGAAGAATGTTAAGACCCTTGTAGGCTTTCTTTTGAAGTTTTGGAGTGGTACTAGAGGTAATTTTTAGGTAAGGAAGGAGGAATTTGTAATAGAGTTCCAAGCATGAATTTGGCACACATGAAAGCATTGTAATAGAGAGATCGAAGAAGCCAAAGAATTTTTCTTCATCTGACTCAGAGTTAATGGTTAAAATCTTCTTCAGAACTAATTTGAAATATTCAGTTATTGTTTCATTGTCACATATCGAAAAGAATGCAGTGATTGCCTTTCCGACAGCATATTGAAGGTCACTGGTGGTAGCATTTGCATTCTGATCCACGAAGAGGTTGAACAAGAGAGGAATAAATTGCTTGTTGAATCCAGCTATGGCTTTCAGACCTCTCTTGCATGTTTCCTTGTCCAAACCAAAAATGTTGAGAGGTAACTTTCCGTCATTATCCACGACACTGGAGTACGTTGAGATGGCCAATGATAAACTGTTACAACATGCAATCTTGATATCGTGCTCAATGCCTTTGGTGGCTTCAGAGGCAATCTTTTCACCCAGTAAAGGTGCAACGGATGCAAATTGAGAATCCAAATCAACAGGATAGCTACAGAATTGTGGAAGAAGAGCCCAAATCTTTTCGTAGAGTGTCAAGAATGCATTGCTGCCATGACGATCTACCTCTGAGGTTTTGCTTTTGTCATAGAAGGTTTTTGCCATTGGTAACAAGACGTTGATCCAGTATCCCAGTTGGCCGTTCACACAAATTCCGGTCAATTTAGAAAGATCTTGAGAGATTTGTTCGTTGGATGGCTCGTTGCCTTGAGTGGATGATTTCAGGTTCGGAATATGAGAATAGTCCACTTTGTGATTGATTAGAATACTCAAAACCCAGCCATCAAAATCAATCGCTCCTTCTTTGAAGGACTCTTCTGGCCCGAGAGCACGAATGCAATAGCCAACAATCTTCTCGAGATAATAAACAGATCGTGCATTCTTGAGCTCTGACTGTTCGAGTGGTGTTGCATCGAGCTTGCTTTCTTTCTCTTTTCTAAGGAGTTCTTGCAATACATCACTTGAGAACAATAGGAAATCGGAAATGCAATTTTTGATTGAGTTGAGTTTAAGGCCCTTCGATCTGAGTAGACTAACTTTGAGAATGATGTCTAGAGAAAGTTGAGCAATTAGATCATATCTGTTGCTCTTCACATTTTCTAAACCGTTTTGCAACGTATTGGCAATAACCACCATTGAAGATTGATTGGTAGAGTCCCCTTCGTTGTCTTCCATATCAGATGGCTGTTGATTTTCGTCTCTGAAAAGTTCAAGGTCAAAGCAAGTGAAGATTAAGTTTTGAAGGTTGGAAAAGGCAGCATTCACTGTTTCGTCCAACTCAGGCTTTCCAATCAATAGTGAATCAAATATTAATTTGAAAAATTTGGGTATTCTGTTAGCAAGCAATTGCTTATCCAATCTGTATAGGCATTTGTGAGCATGTGTCATCATAACAATATAAGCAACAACCTTCTTTGGGTCATCGCTTTTCAAAATTGGGCAGAGTTTGTCAAGAAGAATGTCAATTATTTGTGCAACACTCTTTGCTTGTAAATTTTTGTTAGAATCAAAAATATTCTTCATCGTTCTGTAAATTTCAGCACAAATGCTTGCAGGAAGATTACCCGTGTTGCCTTTCAGTAAAATATCCAACAACTTTTGGAGGACGATAACAACATTTCTTTCATTCAAATTTTCACTCAATAAACCAATTGCCTTAATGACTGATGTAGAAATATCTGCATTTCTTGATTTGCTTGAAGAGTGATACTGCTCAATGAGATAAACCGAAACCATTTCATCTTGTGAAATGAATAATTGCTTTTTCTCAATGAGTTGTTGGAGTGTGTGAAGACATTTTTCTCTCACGGCATTTCTGCTGTCGAACAGAAAGCTAAAAGAAAGTTTTTCCAAGTCTTGTTTCTTACTATATGCTGAGGCGTGTTCTGGAAGGGTTCCAAGTTTTGAAATTACTTGGATAATAACAACTACAAGTTGTATCGTCACATATTCGAATTTGTCCATTTGTTGATGAATTGAAAGAAGAGTTTGGCCAATAAACTCGAAACTTGATAGAACAACCGATGACTTGATGCTGTGACCGTTGTTATTATTATGGGATTGAGATTTTCAATAGTGTTCATGAGAAGAAAATCATTTCAATGAAAATGTTGTTCACAAATTAATACAGCAATTCTTTACAGATATATGAACACTTACTGTTCCATCAAAATTGAAAGCAACTGAAGGAGAGAGGATACCTTTCTTGCATCGTTGTTATGATCCGAAGAAAGAGTTTTCAAGATAGCCCCATAATAGGATGTTGGTGAAAGAGGTTGTTGTTGAGTATAGATTGTTTCAGTAATTGCTTCAATGATGATATTCATACTCTTCCAATTTCCATTATTTACATCTCTTCTCTTCAAAACTTGTTCAAATACGGAATAAATTGCAGGGGCGTTTGCTTTTAAAGCCTCCGAAAATTGATTTCGTTGAGAATGATCCACTTGTTGCTGTTGCGAGTCATCATCCATCATGAGAGTGGTACTAGCATTTTCATCATGATGAGAAATTGATTTTTGTTTCGATGATGCAGTAATGTTTTTATTGGATGAAGAGGAGGCTGACGATGAAGCAGCGGAGGAGGCTCTTTGCAATAATTTGCTTCGGAGAGTCATTGTTTTTTTTTCAAACATTTTGGTGAAGGTTCTTGCTGAATCGACACGAGAGAAAAATTAGGACAAAACGCTTGAAGGAATTATTGTCAGCAATACAGTAACTGGTGTTACTTCATTGGATTCAATGATCTTCCAAGGTTCATCTTGTTTCAAAACTGTTCCAACAGATTTTCAATAATCCAAACACTAACAAACAACGTCTTAGAATCAGGTAACAGGGAGGAGTTGTACCTTAGTAACAAGGCAAAACCTGTTTCAATCATATCAAAGGCACTCTCTTGAGGGTTTGACAGCAAGCAGACCATAATTGCATACAGTTGTGTTCCATCCAAAGTTATTCCCTCTTCCGAAAACTTGTTCAACAGTTTGGCTGTTCCAATTGAGTATCTCTCCTGTATTCAATTTAATTGTTTGTTGAGGACCTTTGGTTATTACTATTTCACGTTGAGTTTTTCTCCGTATTGGTTGAGTCGTCGTATAGTCTGCTTCGACTGGAACATTAATAACTGGAGATTCATGATTATCGTTATTCTCATCTTCAACAGATTGTATTAAGGTGTGAACAGAAGAGGAATCAAAAATACCATCACGTGTTCTTGCTTCAGATTGTTCGGTTAAGGTGTTTACAATTTCTGTTTCCGACGATGTAACACTTGATCCGGTCCTTCTAGCATTCGCTAATGTTGGTAGTACATGCTTGTGTACTCTATTGATTGAATTTTCTCCAGGAATTGCAATCGTCTTGAAGGCGATCCTTTCCACTTTACAAGACTCGAACGTATTCCTCATTTTAGAAACCTGTTTGGACCAGTCTAATTAAGCTTGTGTTGGATGGCCAATAACTATTCTCATGACAATCTTTCCATAATGATCCCTTTCTCTTCGAATCGTTCCCCATGGTGTTGGGCATGTATTCGAGCAATACTGGGTCAATGAAACAACTGAGGCCTTATTACTTAAGGGAGTAATTAACATTTATTCAATTTTTGTTCTTCCAAAGCTCTTTCAAAAAAGGCAGGATTAATGAAGAGAAATGTTTCAACAACTCTTCTGAAATGTCTCCAACAGTCATCTCATAAGCTTCCAATAATTAAAATGATATTCCTTAAATTTGATACCCTTAACATTTACGCCTAAGGGTCTAAGAACAACGAAAAGTAGCTTTTTGTAATTGGGTTGCAAGTCCTCGCTTTTATCATTGACAATGAAATATTACACTAAACCCCTTACAGCTTTGAATGTCTAAGAGGTGGAAGAGAATGAGGACCATCCAGCGAGGTGGTTGAAGAATCTCTTTCTCGTCTCTTCCTATCCACAGCATTATCAATAAACGTCAACAAGTGATGCCACACTCCACTCATCATTCCTTTCTGTTTTTTGAAAAATCCAAAATGTCCCAACCGCTTTCCCAATGATCTATTCAAGTAAATAAAGTGATGCAGAAAGTGATACAGGTTCGCTCGATCAGCCAACACCTCAGTGACTGTTCGGTAGTCTCTATGACCAATGGTTGAAGTTGGTTCATGCAGAGGTCTGTAATTTTTCATGTTATTTACAGTGAAATAATTGAAAATAAATTTAACAGCGGCAGCATCACCCAAAATATCATGCCTTAATGCATAAAATAGCACTGGGCAATTAAGGTACTGTTGTAGATCGCTAGTTTCCTTCGGAAAGGCTCCAAAAACTTCCTCAGAATATCTTCCACATTGTGCACTTTGTTTTGCACAATCACTTGGCATGGTCCAAATTGGTAGTGTGTGAACCATGGGAGTCATTATGGGACAAAACAAATAGCAAACAAAGAAAAAGAGCATTTTCGAAAGGATTCGTGTTTGATGTGTAAAATTCCCACTCTGTGAAGCGACACAAACTATGGCACAAATTTTGTTGAGATAATGCTTTGGCGTGAAGCAAATACTTTCTATTGAGCATATCATTATGGTTTTGTTGAGGCCACCGAGGAAGTATGAATAAATTTTCCAATATCCATGAAGGCAAATAAACTACACTTACTTCCAGAAATGGAGTGTGCAATAAAAACAACGTCACTCATGACTACATGAGATTCTTTCGTTGTGTTGTGGCGATTATAATTGGAAGTTGCAGCTTGGTCTATTTGTTCTACATAATCAATCACTGCTGGAATATCAAACTTTCCCCAAGAAATTAAATCCGTGGGAGGTAAATGCAAATTGTATTTGTTGTACAGTAAATTTTTCGATTCAAAGCAACCTCTATAATCGAATAGGACCACTCTGTATCCATCTAAGTCCAGATCAATGTCACAAAAACGAAATGATATTAGTATTTCATCACATGAAGAATCCAAATTCGGAAAATATGTCCCGATAGCATCATCAACCTACTTTGTTGAAGAAAGCATGCAAAATCATGATAAAAACTCATTTTGACTCCAATGGCACTTCCAACAATGGCTGTCTTTTTAAATCTATCAGAAGTGGGTGGGGTGGACGGTTCGTATACTTTTGCAGACAGTAAATAATTGTCTTTTGTGAGAATGGTCACGTCTTGGTGGGTTGCACGAGATGAAAAAGAAGAAGAAGAAACGTTCATGTCCTTGTCACGAGTTTTATGTGTTATCAAGAAGAAAATTCGAAAGTTTGATTGAGATTTGAAGGAGCAAAGCTGCAAAACGAGATTCTTTTTTGAAACTATTTAATCCATTTCACTTAAAAAATCAGCTGGGACCATCATGGTGCCTGTCAAGATTTAATTAACCAATTTTCCTCCCTCACTCACAGTTCTTGAACATTCACACGATCACGTATATTATACAAGTCTCACCCTTAGCTTAGCTTTGACTTGAAAAAAGAAGAAAAAATGAGTGCTAGATATCGAACAAAGTCCACTTTTAGGTTGAATTCATTTGGAATGAACGGGACCCAGGAGATAAAGTCATCATCTGATCGGAACATGAAAATGTGCTTGAACTCATTGAACCAATGATCCGATGTTGCAGGACTGTTCTCGAATGTTCAATAAATTTGAATTCGAGAACAAAAAATTAGGTCCACAGCATCTGCCACATTCCGAAAAGCATCATCTTGTTGACATGATACCTCAATTACAAATTAAAGAACATCTTCCTCCCTTTCATTCTCTTCCATCATACCAATACAATGGAAAACAATACTATTCAGCTGATGATATTATTGGCGCTTTCTTCCAGGGAAAGAGCCAAAAAACGAGCAAGATCATCGGAGTATTGCATTCCGACCACAAAACAGTTAGCAATATTATACAAAGAGACCTTGGATTCAGGAGAGTCAAAAAGTCTGCCATTATTCTAAGCTTCACGGCAGTCATTGAAACAATATTAAAAATAACAAAAGGAAACAAGGACCAAGATCGCTTAATATTGCATTTATTCCAGACTTTTAAAGATGGGAATGATTTTGAAAATTCAAACAAAGAGGCTGACCAAAATCAAAAGACATTTAGTAATGTAATATCGGAGCCACAACCTGAGATGCGGTGTAATGAACTCAAACAACATACTTCGTGTGAGCCTTCTGCGCTTCTTTATTATATGCAAACAATGCCAGGCATATCAGCAAATCCACTCATTGGTGCCTCATCAACAACACCAAACATTTCTCATCTTCACACTCAAACAGCCGTCACCAACGATCACTTGTTTCAGCACCATGAGCGAATTGTCCAAAACGATTTTAACCAGGTTAATATTGGTTCTGCCTTCCCTATGGTCACTTCATTCTCTTCAGAATTTGTAGAGCCGAATGTCTTCAACGGCCAAGATTACTCCCTCAACAAAAAGAGAAAGTGTGGCCCTTCGAACTATGAGTCAAAATAAACTATGTTTGCTTCTTGCAAAAGCTGGAACAACACTTACAAAAAAAATGGCCCATCGAGAGGATGATGAAGAAAATGGTTTCAATTCGAACGTCCGATACAATGTCGATCATTGCTTGGTGGATCATGAAGCAATGTTCGGAATGATCACCAACGATTCGGAACAAGAAAAATTAATGGCTGAATTTCGTAACTATGACAATAATCCTCGTGATGATATTCCTGGTCCAATTTCATTTATGGGACGAGGCAACGGACTTCGTTTTAGTACAAACACCAACAACAGCAATGGCAACGATGGAGTCCCTTCATCCATTCATCCAACAATGAATTTTGCGACACAACAAATGATGATGAATAAGAAGAGTCGAAAACAACCAACAACAACCGAATTACAACATTGGAAAGAAATGCGAAATTTAGTAGAGGAGAAGGGACAAAGTAAATTTCTTTCATCTCTCAAACAAATTCAAGAGAATAGAACAGGAACTGCAAAAGACAAAATTCCACTTTTACCTGTGATTATTCGACAAATTTTGCATTACGATTCACACGAATCAGCTCACGTTTTAGTTGGAGAAATTGGATCTGATACTGAAATGGAAGGAACAATATCGAGAAAAGCCATCGAAAGAAATCCAAGCATTCTCACAGTTGAAACTGTGGTGTTGCTAAAGAAAATTCAACTTTATTGCCCTAGACCTGCAAAATTTCACTTGATCATTTCTGAAAAGAATACAGCCAAAGTTTGGATGAACGATCCTGAAGAAGCAAACCACAAGTTAAAAGTGATAGTAGGAGCTTCTACCTCCTTGTCGTCATCGCCATCCACTGGACGAGTAGCTAATGAAGATATGGACTCATTTGGTCCCAATATTGATAGTATGGATTCCACACCTCCATCTGGAGAGTGTAGAGAGGGACTCAACTCTCGTCAAGGGCTTACTGAAGCTTGCTCAACAACAACAACAGCAAATCAAACACTCCCAAACAAACGTGTGACTACAGAAAAATTCATTCCTCCTCCCCAACCATTCCAACGACCACCTCCACCACCACAAAAATCATCATCAACAACAAGTGCTTCAACGCCTCTTAATACTTTAAATACCACCACCTCCACCACCATTGCTGCTACTACGAGTCGTTTTCGACCCCCACCTCCTCTTTACGAAACACCAGAGACTTTGAAAAAAGCAACTAGTGATGATACCATTCCATTGCCGAATGAGTTTGAATTTTCACAACCCTTATTAACAACACCGACACGATCCCACCACTCGAATGCAAGATTAAGATCTGGGAATCTCTCTCCAGAACTGACAGTATTGACCACCTCCACCTCCACCACTACGACTACGACTACCTCCTCCAAACGAAAATCCCATCCAACCTCAAGCTCCTCAGCGCAATCTTCCTCCTCTTCCTCCTCCAACAATGATTTCAGCGACAATCCTAGGAACAAGAAGAGAAAACAAACCAATGTACCCTCACTCGATCCCAATCATGACTTATCCCTTCTGAACACACCTTTGCATCATCACCTCCAAAAAGATTCCTTCAATGATCCCTTATTCGATGAAAACTCCAATCAATCCACACCCATGTCTTATTCACCTCCTCTTTTTCAACAACAGCAAGAACAGCGACCGAGTCTGTCTGACCAACAAGTTCCTCCTTTTTATCCAGCAAGAATGTCCTCTTTGTCGACGACAACTACGACTAGTACAAACACCACAAGCATTGGAAGTGAGACGAGTCGTCACTTAAACAAGGCACTCGACATGGGAAAACACAAAAAGAGCCAGGTTGATGCAACTCTTGAGGAGGATGACGATGATGATCCTCTCAAGGGCATTCTAGATGAAGATGTGAATGATGATGAGGTTTTAATCCAACAACAACAACAACGACGACAACAAGAACGATCTCTGACAGCTACCACCACACTTGTACCACCCAAACCCCCTCAGCAAGTAGTTCCACCACAACCACCACCACCAGTACATACAAGTCATTTAGCACAACCACCACCAAAACAACGAAAGACAGTTGTGAATTTTGATGATGACGATGACCCTCTCAAAGGTATTCTTGGAGATGATGAGGAGGTTGCTTTGGAACAATCCCTTTTCCAGGAAGCTCCTCTCCACAAGCCTACTGCTGGTAAATCACAACAGAAAGCCAAAAAGATGATTGTATTTGATGATGATGAAGACTTTTGATGGGTAGTATTGTTGGAGATGGATCATATTGTTAAAACGCGTTATCATTGTTGACGAGTCCAGCTCAGTTATAGATACGTGTGCGCATGTTGTTGAATCTTTGGTTCAAGCAACTCGAGCACCTTCTCTCCCATGAAACCCACCAGGCATTGTAAAATACTGGTCAACCTAAATTTTTTAAAATTCAAAAATTTCGTTTGAAAAAAATTCGCCACAAATACGTACGTATCGTGCACGCTCGCTCTGTTCGAACACCTGATTCTAACCACTTGTTTTTTAAAATTTTTAATTTCAATGATTTAACCAATCTTTGAATACAACCACATGTTTTCTCACTCTCGCCCTTCTTTACCCAACTTGTACATCAACGGTTATCTAATCCACCACACCCTTCACCCACCCATATCCATCCACCACCACCCTATTCATCAATCTTTTCCACAACAATGTCCACATTCAATCTATTCACAACACAAACACACCCTCATCCAACATTTACAACAGTATATATAGAAAATGGGTTCTGGTAAACCAAGAGGTATTAAAGCCGCAAGAAAGATCAAGTCCAACAGAAGAGATTCCAGATGGGCAGATATTGACTACAAGAAGATTGCTTTGGGAACATTGGTCAAGTCCAACCCATTCCAAGGTGCTTCTCACGCCAAGGGTATTGTCTTGGAAAAGGTCGGTGTCGAAGCCAAGCAACCTAACTCTGCCATTCGTAAGGCTGTAAGAGTCCAATTGGTCAAGAATGGTAAGAAGATTACAGCTTTTGTTCCTATGGACGGTTGTTTGCTCTTCCTCGAAGAAAACGATGAAGTCTTGGTTTCAGGATTCGGTCGTTCTGGTCACGCTGTCGGTGATATTCCGGGAGTTCGTTTCAAGGTTGTCAAGGTGGCAGGAGTGTCACTTTTGGCTCTTTGGAAGGGCAAGAAAGAAAAACCAAGAAATTGAAATTGCCTTGTTTTCATCATCTTATAAACACATAATTCATTACTTTTTGATTGTTTTCGATGTTTGTGAATACTCTTCATCATGCATAATTTCCTTTTTTTTAGTAACTGTAAATTGTCAAAATGATACACTCGTTTATTTCACTTAAGGACCGCAGACCATTTCACCTTCTTGGATATATGGCGGAGCAACCAATAATTTTTTTGTGTAATCAGTAACATTTTAATGTTGACGAATATCCAACAGATCCTTATTGCGATTTAACATCGGATGCACCGTCGTACAATAATCGAAAACAAACTTTACAAGAATTATTTTTTAATTCATCCTTAGATATCCCAACAGCAACCATATGTTGATTCTACGATTTTTCTACTGAGCTCTTTCTAACAAAACACCCTTATTTCCTCTTCTTGGTCTGCTTTTCATTTGAATCCTCATTCTTTTTCCTCTTTGATTTCTTGGACTCCTCTTCATCATCGCTATCATTCTCTTTCTTTTTACGACCTTTGGTTTTCTTATCATTCTTGTTGCGGCTTTTTGCTTTGCGTTCCTTATTATTATCGGACAAGGTGATCATTTCTGACATTAGGCTATCATGTGTCTCTTTTCCTTTCAGCAATTTCTCAATGATTTGGTGTAATTCTTCTTTTACCAAATGATTTAAAATGTCATTGCTGATGGTTCCCATTTGTGAGCGAATAAAAGATCTCGAACTGTTGGAAGTGGCTTGTGTATAATTTTTCAAAGTCAATTCTACAGTCTTTTTCTTGTTAGAATTAGATAAAGTGGCATCCTTGTTCTGCAAAGCAATTTCTGCAAGTTCATTTCTCAATACATCCATCTCGAGTGAAATGTTGTCACGTTCACATTCCAATATCTTCTTTGATGTTCGCAAAAGATCAATTAGCTTCAAGTGATTGATAATCTTGTTGCTGATGGATCCCATTCTATTCCTCAAGAATTCTCGAAGAACATCCTTGGTTGCATGAACATAATTTTCAAGAGTCAATTGAGATGCATCGAGTTGTTCCACATTTCGTGATGAAGTTGGAATGAATTTTTCATCGACTTCATCACCCTGAGGATCTTTCAAAGAATACACATTTTGAGCTTCCAATAATTGACCGCTGTTAATGTAAAACAATTTTGGATTCTCTTCACTTGGAGCAATAATTTCCTCTCTCATCCAAATTTCAAGTATGATCTTGAAAGGAGCATTTCCAAGCTCCACTACATTCACAATAAATTGTTCAATATATCCACAATTGGGGAAGGAGCTCAAATGACTCTCCAATCGATGACAAGTTCCATAACTTTCAAATTCGCTCAACCAATCCAAGGCAAGTCCATACTCTTTGGTTCCTTTGATTTGATCCACCACTTGTGGATATGTGTACAATAGAGTGGCAGCATCCATCAAAGTGCGAGGCATGATCTTTTCCCAATTTTTTTCATTCACTCTACGTTTGTTATCCTTTCGATTCAATTTTTTAAACTTGTTTCCTGGTGGCAAGGAAGTCCAAAATAATTGTGCACTCACTTCTTGACCATGCTTATTCTTGGGGAGAGGCAATTCTGAATTTAACAATCTCTCTTCCTTGTTGTGATTCAATAAATTCAAAGAGAGACTGTTCTTGTCTTCACTTGTGGTGGAATTCTTTGTGAAATTACTTTTTGGGTCAATGGTACTTGATGAAGAATCGTGTGCAATGGATTGTAAAAGCTCCAAGAGAGAAGTTTCATCTTGATTGGAGGAGGAGGAACCATCTTGTGCAGTTGGATCATTTTTCCGAGTCAATTCATGACCAGAGAAGATTTCCTTGGTGGTTCCAGAAATGACTCCATGGAGTGTGTTGTTGCTGGTCTTTTGAGAGTTGTGAGTCAATGTAGAGATGACTTCCTTGGTGGTGGTGGTACAAGTGGTGGTGGACTTCTGATCCTTACTCCCCCTCTCATCACATTGAACATCCCCCTTGAAACAAGTCAAAGATTTCAATCGAAGCAAAACCATTCGATAAAAGTGGAGAAACAAGCGATACACAATGACCAAATTCTCTTTCACACCAATACTTGGTTCAACTTGTAATTGTTAATTATGTGTGATCATAACTCGATCCATACTAATTATTGGATTGTGTTTTGTCATGCATGTTTGACAAACAAATTGCCATAAATTTCTGTATGCCATAACAAAGAAAGATTGGAAATAAAACAATCATGTTGTGGGGGAAAGCATTGAAGATCAGTATCAACAGAAAAATCGTCAATTTTTTTCGCACTTTTTCGAAAATCACAATAATTTATAAAGTTGTAATTCAAAAGTGTTCCGAACCAACAAAGTTCCGAATCAAATTAATTATCAGTAATTGATTAGAGGGCAAAAAACGCCATCAATATCCTTCTGATTCTTTTTTGCCTTGTTCAAGCGATTGAAATGAATAATATCTTCGTTTTTTTTCGTCATTTGATATATGATCATTTAGGCAACCATAGATAAACCATGATAAATTTGTTGGTGTTTTTAACAGAATAAATCCCGTGTTAATTTTGAAATGTGCTCCTTTAAACAACCCTGAAAAAAGCACCTCTCGAGAACGGTTAATAGTAAACAAAACGTTAAATCTAGCCGTCATTGTTTTGATACACATTTCTTCAAATATCTCCCATCTGGGTTTTTTTGATGTCGCTGTAATGAAATCAGATACGACATGCTTTGGAATGTAATCCTTCTTTGTTGCCAAGATATCAATTACTACGAGAGGAAGTCCAATAAAGCCATCACTGCTATATATTTTCCCTTCAAGGATGTACTTGGTAAGTCTGTCATCTTTTGTTTGATTTAATCCAGATAATGTTCTCAAAGCCAATTCGACAAAGTAATCCGTTGGATTTTCTAAATCACTTCCATATTGCATTTGGACGATGTTTGTTACGTTACAATAGATGTTAGATATTACTGTATCTTCATTAAAAATGTCTACCATAATTCGTAACTCTTGTTTCTTGTTATAGACTTCTATCGCCCATTGCAAATGCCGAGGAACAACTCCAATGGCATTCCAAAACTCCCTATTTCTCTCATACAGTGCTAATAGGCCCATTTCTTGCATAATCTCTTTGATATCGATCGATCTCAATGATGGAAGTGGCAATGTTGCGGGTGTATAATCTGTTGGGTTTATTTTTGCATCATTTTCATTCAAGGTTCCTCCAAAGGCTGGAAAGAGTAAAATATGGTCTTCAAATTGCAATTGTCTCATATACCATCCTAATTTGTGTTGGATTTTGGTGTGTAGATCTGAAATATGTCTTGTAGCTATTTGATATTCATCAAAGGCCAATACTAATGGAATGATTACAGGTTGTTTGTATTGTTCATGGAGTTTCATTGATATTATTTTCAAGACTCCATAGAGTAGAGTATCATTATCACTAGGTGGTATGCCTTTAATGATATTCTCTGTTCCTTCAAAAACAGCATAGACAATTCTAGGCACAATCATGGAAATTGGTTGACTATCTCTGTTTGTAAAGCTATTCAATGAGAATCCATTCGAAAAGTTAAAATAAATAATCTTAGTGTTTTGGTAAATGGTATCCAGTTCTTTTGAGCTGCGCATTATGTTGGGTATTTCCATTAAAATTCGTGACTTTCCACTTCCACTACCGCCTTTAGCAATGAAGAAGCTCAGTTTTTGCTTATTATCTCCTTTTTTTGAAAATAAAATGTTCCTTTGCTACATTTACTACTAATTTGAT